GCTTCCCCCCCCCCCCCACTCATACGCTTGTGTGTTCTCTTTCTCTCAAAAGTAATTAAAAAAAACATTAAAAAAAGTTCTCCTGAGTTTTATCTGTTCCTATTTTCGGACCATTTCCATTTGTTATTAATTTATAAACACTCTTTACATATTAAGGATATTATGTGACAGCTTTATTAAGATAAAATTAAAATACCATACATTTCATCCGTTTAAACTACACCCAGTTTAATGACTGCTAGTGTATCTACAGAGTTGAACAGCCATCAGCATAATTTTAGAACATTTCATTACCGTACACAGGAACTCTAATACTCTTATCTGTTACCTCCAATCCTTCCATCCTCCCCATTCCCTGGCAACCACTATCCTACTTTCTGTCTCTATACACTTGCTTATTCCGGACACCTCATGTCAACAGGACCATAAAATATGTGGTCTTTTGTGCCTGGCTTCTTTTACTTAAGCATATTGCTTTCAAAATTCATCCATGTGGTGGCATGTATCAGAATCTCTGTTTTTATTTTTGATTTTTAAAAAAGTGTTTATTTTTGAGAGGGCAGGGATGGAGAGAGAGGGGGACAGAGGATCTGAAGCGGGCTCTGCATTGACAGCAGAGAGCCTGATGTGGGGCTCAAACCCACGTACAGGGAGATCATTACCTGAGCAGAAGTAGGACACTTAACCGACTGAGCCACCCAGGCGCCCCCCCCAAGATTTTATTTTTCATCTCTGCACTTAACATGGGGCTTGAACTCACAACCCCAAGACCAAGAGATGCTTGATTGAGCCATCCACGCACCCCTACCATAATTTCTTATAGAGCAAAAAGCAAGAACTCCCTCTTAACCAAGTGATTCCCAATTTCACCCTCCAGAGATCACCACTGTTAGCAGTCTGTATCCTTCTCGACCATTTTTTACGCACATACATATGTGTAGTGTTTAAAAAGTGGGTTAAAAAAATGAAAAGGGAGATCAAACTATAAATACTGTTTTGCATCTTTTTTCACTAGACGATACAGCAGGGCATCTTTCCATCTGTGGATCAATCACATACTTTTTTTTTATTATGCTAAGTAGAGCCTTCTCTACCCCATGATTATAAAGATAGCCTCCTATTTAGTCATCCAATACTTTTATGGACTGCTGTTCGTACTTCTTTATCTTTCTTTTTGAGAGAGAGAGAGAGAGAGAGAGAGAGAGAGAGAGAGAGAGAATCCCAAGTAGGCTCCACACTGTCAGCACAGACCCCCAACCCAGGGCTGGATCTAAGGAACCTGAGATCATGACCTCAGCTGAGATCATGACCTCAGCTGAGAGTCAGAGGCTTCACTGGACTGAGCCACCCAGGTGCCCCAGTTTTTAACTTAAAATAAAATCGTTAAAGATCAACAAGTGTAGCGCTGGTGGAATTCTTAATACCATCTTCTCCACAACGGAGGGGACAATTATAAACCTTTCCTCCTCTGCCCTCAGCACATATTCCAGAGAAGGGCTGGAAAACAGTGTGCCTGTTGGCTTAACACATTCAGAGAGCGCGTACCCTGGCCAGAGGGAGAGGTGTGTGAGCGTGTGCGGGAGCGCGCTTTCCCCCCTTACTTTGGTACTTGCCCGCACCCACTTTCCTCGGGTATAAATCAGGGGCTCCCCACAAGGTGTTTACAAGATCCACCTGGAAGGACTGGCCTGTATGACATCAGACCACTCTTCTGGACAGAAACCTTTGAAAAAGGATAAGGATTAAAGAGAGAACTGGCCCTTGCAATTCCCACAAAGACTTCTAGCATTGAAGCAAAATTGGGGGCGAATCCCGGTGGCATTGAGTCGGTTTCAGACTTGTGCCGTGTTTATACTGACATTCCCTGGCCTCTCCTCAGCAGGCCGCGGGTTCCTGGGGAGGGCTCCCGCGGGTCCTGCTGTTGCAGGCACTGCGGAACCCCATCTCTCCTCTGCCCCATTTCCCACTTGGCTTCTTCAGGGGGGGGGGGTCGCCTCCTCTCGCCTTTCGGTTTTCTTGTGGCCTCTATACTCCTGTGCTCTAAGACCTGCGAAGATCCCCAAGTCGCTGAGGGACGGCAGCCCAGGTGTCTGTACCGCCTGCTTCCTAGGACCCCGGCGTTTGAGAATCGGGGATCTGGAAGGCAAGGGGCTTAGCATCCCCAAGAGATCCGACTGGTGTGTGTGTGTGTTTGCACTGGGGGCGGGGAGGGCACCTTCCGGCTGCAGCACAGACCCTTTTCAGACCATCCAGGGCCAGTCTCTGGGCGCCAGCTGGGACTGCGGTCCCGCTGGGGCCACCCGCCCGTGCGCTCACTGAGCGACGCCCCCGCGCGGCGGATCCCCGCCTGGCCGCTGCGGGCGGGGATGCTGCGGAACCGTCGAGACCTGCAGGAGTTGCCAGGGGAGTGCGAGGCCGGCCGTCCCCTCCCACCACGCGTGCTCGCCGGGCCCGGCCTTCCCGCCCCTGACAATAGGCGTCTCGGCAGGGGTCCTCCCCGCGGGCGCCTTGAGTCCCTCCTCCGCCTCCTCCGCCTCCACTCTTCTTCCTCCGCGCAGCTGGGAGGGGGCGTGTGTGCGCTCCCCGGAGCGGTCGCTCTCGCTGCGGCAGCCGTCCGAGGCAGTGCGCCGGGGCCCCAAACTCCGAGCAAGTTCCCGGGCTCCGGGGACGCGCGCGCGCGCCCGGGCTGCGGAGCCGGTGGTGGGCCCCCTCCGGTCCTGCCCAGATGCGCCTGGGCGGACGCGTGGCGGAATTCGGGGGTCGCGGCCCGGACTCCGAGGCGGGGGTGGCGGCGGCGGCCGGCTCCGGGCCCCACCCGGGCGCGTCCACGCCGCCGGCCCGGTCCGCGCGCCTGGGCTCGGCGCCCCGGCTCCCCGAGCGGTGCGGCGGGACCCCGGGCCTGCCCCCGAACCGGGACGGCTGCACGATCGTGCCGGCCGCCCAGGCCGTCCCTGGGCAGGTGGACATGGCCATGGCCCCGCAGCGCGTGAGGATATCCGAGAAGTACGGCAAGAGCTACCTGTGCCTCCTGCATGCGGTCTTCGTGGCAGGTGAGTTCCCTCCCCGCGCCCGCCGCCCGGCCGCCTCGGCTCCCCGCTCCCTCCCCGGCGCGGCCGGCCGGCGCGCACACTTTGTTTGAGCTCGCACCCCGCGCACCCTTCCCCACTGCGGGGGGCGCCCGTTGTTCCCCGGGCCGGGCGCGGCGCTGCGGGCGGGCGGTGCGGGGAGGTCACCGCTGCCGCGTGTCACGGGAGAGGTGGGGCCGGACGGCTTCTTCCCGGTCCGCATCCCGCGGACCCGAGACAGGCCCCCCCCCCCCCCCCCCC